AAAAAAGAAGGAAAACGAAAGATTTCGACCTCGAGTCCTCCTCACACATACCTGTGCCATGATTAATGTTACGCCTCCTTGGCAACCTTTTTTTCGCTTGACAATCCCCGGAAAATCCGGCTGGACCAATAACATTGCCCTCATCTTCGTGACACATTAAAAAAAAAAAAAACCATTTACAATTTCATATTTTCACAGGACATCAATGAAGACCCATTTAGTGAAGATTAATCGCTTCTCTTACTTCGTTTGCACTTCTTGTAATGTAAAAATTGTTCTAATTTATTTTCGATAAATAGAACACACGATGAGAACGATTATTTTAAATGAATGAATAGATAATTATTTTGTCGTTCGTGAAGTACACTCAGTTTATAAATATATTCAACGTAATAAATGCAAAAGCTGTTGGTCTGTACTTTGAAGATTATTATGGGCCACCAAGAATTAAATAATTAATTAATAATAAATCACTATATTATAATAAATCTCGATATTTACTGAGACATCATCTGAATATTTAATTACGTACACTGCTTGACCATAAATCATTTGCTCGTAGTGAATAAAATGATTATTACAATATTAAATTCTCTTAATATGACTTAATTGTTTACTTCTATTATATTTATCTAATTTCATATTCTTCCGCATATTTTTCATTTTTCGTATTTCGTATCGTTTCTGATAGAAATTAACGCTAGAGCTACAAAAAATAATCAAAATAATCATTTTATAATTCTTGTTCGATATTTTATTTAATTATTCAAATCATATGGATCGTTCGAAATGAAAATTTACATTTTTTGTATTATTTAATGGCGTTTGACAACGCTAATCAACATTAACAATTCACACTGATATAAATAACGTTTCACCTGATCATTTTTGTACGATTAATTGGCAAGTGAATGGTTTATTAGTGAAATTTTGTCAACATTAGAAGGAGTGATTGTAAAATTGTTGCTGACTGGGAATCCGTTTCAGAATTCACAATTATTAAAATAAAATCCTACTATACTTACGTAATGAAATTAAAAAATTTAAAAAAAGTTGATTATTTCTGTTTCTGAGAGGCTCGTTCGATTTTATTAATGTTATTTATTAGGTTGATAGCGGAAAAATTCCTCTGGATGAGGAAAAATGGGGAAATGAGAAAAACTGATCAGAATTTGCAGTATTGTGTCGTACAATCCTCAAACAGTTCATCTAGAAACAGTAGTAGATGTATCTTGAAGAAATTTTTTACTATGGGATATTCACGCTGTTAATAT